AACTTGAGACTTAAAATTTCGGGAATAAATCAACCCTTAAATTTCATAATAACGGAGATATCGAAAAAAATACATTTTATAGTATTTTTTAACCCTTTAAAAAACGTCCTCCAATACATTTTTACACCTGGAATGTGGTGGGGGAAATAAGACAGAGACATTCCGAGACTTCAAAGCTTAACTGCGAAATTTTGCGATATCTCCGTTAATTGTGGACCAATTTTAACGTTTTTTTTTTTTTAATCTGGGGTAGCGCATGAAAATAATAACAACTGCACGGTCCATTTTACAATAATTAATTATTAATTTGTTATAAACTACTAATTTTGTAAAAAAAAAAATTTCGCATTTTTTCGCGAAATAATTTTTGACAATGGTACCAATAAACAATTTTCTTAATAAACAATATTTTTATGTAAAAAAATTCAGGAAATGCTATATTTCTTGTGTATAAAGTTTATTTTAATGAGAATCGAGTGTTTTAATTGTGTTGTGTTTTAAAATAAAATATGTAATTTAATGTTACAAAATAATACTATTTATTACATCCAAAAACTCGACAGGTACACACATGGGTATTGCATTGTCGAAACCAAGAGAGCTGTACGAACAAAATTTGGACAGGACATAGCTAATACAATGCGAAACATCGCCTTAATGTTAAAAATGCTGTCACCGCCGTTTTTGGTGGTGAAAATTCGAAATTATTCAATTTTCATGGCTGAAAACATACATAGGCATACAAGTGCCAAAATTGTAACCCACGAATTTAACTCATTTAAAGCAACAATTTATGTCTAATATTTTTTTTTGAAAACCTTTTTTTAATTAATATACTAAGTATTTTGAAATATTAATGTTGGCTACAAACCCGTCTTGTGGGCTCTTGCAGCTCGGGATTGATTGTGTGTTGAATTAAGATATTGTATTATGTTTAGTGGACTGTATTTTTACTATTTTGATTACAATAATGATTATTATCAATTTGTTATGACATATATCAACATTATTTTTTTTCCTTAACTACCAAATAACCTACTTTGATGCCAAACGTAAAATGCATAATGAACGCTTGGTGCAACATACCGCCGCCCTTGAAACCTCTGCGTTTCAATAAGCAAGCTCAAAACTCTTTTAACAGTAATGATAGCAAATATTTGAAATGCACATAGCCATTTTATACATCTATCGTTTCCATAGGCATCAAACACAGTTTAGTTATGGCGCGTTTCACAACACCATTTTTTGTCTTCACTTGCACTACACGCACTAGTTGATCTTGCCCTTGATGAACCTGAACTATGCGACCCATCGGCCAGTGCAGAGGGGGGACGTTGTCTTCCACCAGGAGTACCAAGGCGCCAATCAGCGATGACACCTCCTTGCGAAATTCCCATTTCGTGCGCTGCTGCAGCTGCTGTAGGTAATCTTTCCTCCAGCGCTTCCATAGGTCTTGTGACATTTTAACTAAATGCTGATATCTTGATAAATAGGTAACCCGAACATCGCTTAGATCTACTTCTGGGATAGAATTTAGAGATTCCCCAATGAGTAGATGACTGGGTGTTAATGCTTGCAGGTCGTCAGGGCAGTCGGATAAAGGAGTGATAGGACGGGAGTTTAAAACAGCCTCCACCTGCGTTAACAGAGTATAAAACTCTTCATAAGAGAAAATGAAATTTTTTGCAACACGTTTTAAATGTTGTTTTACCGACCGAACCGCTGCTTCCCACAATCCGCCCATATGGGGGCTTCGTGGAGGAATAAATTGCCAATCTATGTTGCATTGAAGTAAATAATCTTTAAATCTATCATTCTCTAGTAAAGTTTTGATTTCTGATAATANCGCTTGGACCAATAAATGTTGGCTACAAACCCGTCTTGTGGGCTCTTGCAGCTCGGGATTGATTGTGTGTTGAATTAAGATATTGTATTATGTTTAGTGGACTGTATTTTTACTATTTTGATTACAATAACGATTATTATCAATTTGTTATGACATATATCAATATTATTTTTTTTTCCTTAACTACCAAATAACCTACTTTGATGCCAAACGTAAAATGCATAATGAACGCTTGGTGCAACAATTAAATTATTTTGTGGAAGTAAACGAGCTTAGTTACAGACCTACAATGCACTTCCTTACTCTTAGCTAGGACTCTCTGATCTGCCCTTGTTATTCTCGTACTACGCCCTGTGGGGGGCAGATGCACTATCAGACCCCTATAATTGCCCTCACAGAGGCATTGTATGCCAGTAATTGGCGACAACCAGGTATACAGGGTGTTTCAGTTAGGGTGAATCAAACTTTAACCACAAATACAGCTCAATAAATAATTCAGAATTGCCTTATAAAGCAAGATTCTAAGTCCCACCGTTTTCACTGTACAGGGCCGTATTGGTCGGTTTTTTAAATCATATTAAAAATAATATGAAATCTTTGCTATGCTTATAACGAATTGATTCAAATTTGGTGTGGTGTTAACATTTACATATGTGCATAATTTACTGTAAAATTTACAATTTTTTGTAGGTCAGTGGCGTAGGAATGGGTAGTAAAGCGGGATTTTTTTATCCCAATTTCTACGCCAATGACCTAATAATCATTTGGGATTCATTTTTAGACTCTATGGACAATTCTACATAAAAAAGGTATACTTGTTGAAAATCGGTATAGTGTCTGTTTTACCGATAATCTTAGTCGAATGAGAGATCGTTCTTCTGATAAGAAATTTAGTTTCTTAAGGATAGGAAGTAAATATTAAATTAATATTATTATAATGTCACGGATTACCTTAGAATTCAAAACAATATTAAATAATGTCTCTACATCGGCAAAACTACTAGTAAATTTTAAATATAATCCCTTGTGTATTATTTATTGCATTCGTAATGTGGTGAATTCCTTCTCTGAGCTCATAAAATAACCAAGTTATTGCTGTTTAAAGTTAATAGAAGTATTCAGCAGTTTTTTGAACACCCTGTACAATACTATAAGTGACAACAAATATAATATTTTATAACTTCAATTTTTCGCCAAAGATATCCAAACCGACCTATTCCTCATAGACAAACATTGGCCTTGGTGGAAAGAAGGCTGTAAGAACTGGTAAAATTCAGCCCAATTGTGAGGGTGCCAGAAGAAGGCGTAATGCCCAAACTGTTGAAACTGAGGAAGCTATACTGGAACATCTAGAACAAGACTGTGGTACAAGCATAAGACAGGTGTCCAGGCAACTGCAAGTTTCTCAGTCTTGTGTCGAATGTAGCTCATGAAAATCTTTTATAAGTACCCTTTTCACCATCAACCCGTGCAAGAATTGAATGACCCTGATTTACCTAACCTCGTAGATTTTTGTCAATGGTACATTTCCAGGCATGACTTTAATTTCCTAATTTCATCAATGAAGCAAATTTTCCTAGAGTAGGTGCAGTAAACCTTCATGTTCATTCATGGCCGGAAGAAAATACTCATGAAATATTTGTTTCAAGAGATGTCAACATAATTTCAGTTTAAACGTTTGGATGGGAATTGTAGGAAATATAATATAGTAGGTCCTTTTATTCTTCCACACAGGCTTGGAACGGCCGAGTATCTTAGATTTTTAAACGAAAATCTTCCAACATTACTTGAGGATGTACCCCTCGCTACACGTAAGGTGATGTGGTAGATGCACGATGGGGCGCCTGCACATAGTACACTTGCCGTTAGAGAATGGTTAAATTTAAATTATCCGAATCACTGGATTGGTCGTGGTCGTGACCTGACCTAATGCCTATGGATTTCTTTTTTTGGGGACACATAAAAAGTATTGTTTATGCCACTCCTGTTGCCTCCTTAGAAGAACTACGCTTAAGAATATTTCAGACAGCAGATGACCTTCGCAATAACCAAGAACTGTTTGTGCGAGTGCGTTATATAACTTCAACAGACGTATTAGGTTATGCTTGCAGCAAAATGGCAATTATTTCGAGAATATTCTTTAAATTTAATTTTGCATTTCTTGTTTTTCGTTTGCATTAAATTTTATTTCAGATAAATAATTTTACCTAATACATGTCCCATAGTCATAAGTTATCAAACACTTTTCATTAATTAATAGCAAAATTATTCTTAATGTTATTATTAAATTACCGGCTTATTGACAGAAAGTGTCAATGTATTAATATGATAATTAACAATTTATTTGTTATGACATCCGCCTACTTTATTTTTACAAATTGTCGCAATTACCCCTTTAGTGAACGATGAAACATCTAATTTTTTTACTAGAAAACTATCGGTTTTATCGAAAAATTACAAGAGGTAAAAAAGTTGTGCAATAAATCAGTCTTCGCAATAAATATTTTTAAATAAATAATTTGCTTCATATAAAAAATTTCTAATAAAATATTGCAATGGGACTAACTGCTTCACTCCTTTATAAATTACGCCAATGATGGAACAAATATTGAAAAGTTTCTCTTTATTAGTAGGATACTCATAGCAAGTTTCGTGTCTCTAGCATTCCTCATGTTAAAGAAAAAAATTAAAATATGAATTTCAATGCCCTCCTTTAAGAGGGTATATCACCTCAGGGGTGCAACTTTCATGTAAGGTATTTTTACTATAATTCTCTTATTTTTGGCTCTACATTCACTGGTACCATTTTTGCTACTTCAATTAAAAACACCCTGTATAGGTTTTGGGACGGTGAGGTAGGCTAAAAGGGCCCACTTGTGGCTTAATTGGATACCGCGACCTACTAGTAGCCACAACTAGTAAAAAGATATATAATGGTCTTTACCTTCACCCCAATTTTCATTAACGCACATTGAGGGATTCAGAAGACATGAATTAATGAAATGAGCTCATTTTTTTCTTGATATGATCCTACATCAGCATCTGTGGCTGAAAATCTGTGCACGACTTCACTCGAATTAAATACGTACCGAACATTACTGAAATAAGAAGCTAATCTACTATAAAAACTTATTTATTAAAAATAAGTCACAGAATGTAACAAAATAAACCATCTGAATAAATATAAAACACACCAATCACTTATTATACAATTAAATAATATATCACCAAATTTTACATACGAAAATCGTCACAAGAATCATAAGCTACATTTTGTTCAAGGTTTAAATATTACCATACTGACTAATCCAAGGACATAAGCTAGCACTAACTTAAAATTCACGCTCACGTGAAGATATGTTGGTATATTGGAAGGGTGAGGTACTTCTTGCTGAGTAGGTAATAACAACGTTACTACACACACTAATCCTATAACGATGGCTATAACGTAATTAGTCGAATGTGTTACAGGCAGTGATCTAAAACAGTTATGGATTTATTATAGAAGCATTGTCGAATACACATTTTTACACTAGTTACATGCTTTCAGTAATGTTGTAAACTTAAGGAAAAATAAAATCTTATGCCTAAATTGAATGAATTTAAAAAAAAAATGTATTCAAAATTTGGATTTCCTAATACCTAGCTTATTAAGGATACCTTTTTTTTGTCTCTTAAAATGCTTTTTCAAAAAAACATTAGTTTATGAGAAATATCTCAATTTTGTTTAACTAAAAAAATCCTATAGCCCCACAAAATTATTGGAATCGATAATCTAAAGGACCTAAGTTAATTTAAACAATTTTTTTTTTTCTAATGTACACTGCCAGTCCTTTGAAAGTGGATGATTTATTTTTCTAATGTGATGTGGTCTACTTCTTATTATGACAAGTTTTTATGTCAGTAGTAATTTGCTTGGTAATTCAAGATGCCGCGTTTAACTCGAATCAGAGAAAGTGAGAGCTATAACTTTACTTCAGAATGATTGGTCATTGCGGATGATCTGCATGTATGCAAGAACAGCATATTTAAACTCAAAGAAAAATGGATTGCGGAAGGTCACGTACATTATGTTCACGGAGGTGGACGTCGAAAAGCAAGCACCACCTAAGAATAAATTCTTTTGACATAGCAGTAGCGGAGATGAATTTTCCTGGATCAGTGCAAACTGCAAGGAAGCGGGTGAAAGATTCGGAGCTGAAGAATTATGTGGCCGCAAATACAGTTGCTTTGACTCCCCAGTATAAAGAATAGAGGTTAGAATTTGCAAGACAATTTGTAGGAAGCCCAGACAACTTCTGGGAGAATATTATATTTTCGGACGAAAAAAGTTTTCAGTTTTGCTCCGATGCTTCTGTCCGTGCCTACCCACCAGAGATTATGAGGTATTCGGAGCCTTATGTGAAACCCACACAGCGCAGCGATAGATTCTCCATTAACGTTTGGGCTTGGATAAGCTGCCAAAGTCCTGATGTTTGTTGTGACCCTGCTGTATCATCAGAATTTCACTTTCAAGCAGGATAATTGTGCAATTCACACCTCAAGATTTGCGTCAGAATGGTTCATTGATAACAACATCAATGTTTTACCTTGGCCCTCAAAGTCATGGGGATATATGGTGAAAAAAATTTACGACAGAAACTTCCGTCCAGTTAACGTCGAAGAACTTTGGGAGGCAATTGAAAACGCATATACATCTCTGTATAACAAGAACATTAATTTTATCAATGCCATGCAGACTGCACTGTTACAGACAAAAATGGTGCTTGGACAAAATACTAACTTTACAAATCGCATTTTTTTGACGACGAAAAGTGTTTCATTTTTAGATCTCGTTGACGGCGAATGAATGGCCGTTAGAATGTATAAGTATAATATATTTCAGTATTGGAAAAATAAATAATTTGCTACCTAATTTGGATTTGTTTTGCTCACTAGAACTAGTATGATAGACACACATTAAATTTGACATAATGACAGCCAATTTGAACCTCACATTTTCAAGTCAGCTTCACAAAGGCTAATTATTGACAATTAGCTTATAAGAGTCGTCCACTTTCAAAAGGCCGGCACTGTACCATGCATTTTCAGAACCACATCTCATGTTCACAAAACTTTTTTTTGAATAACATTTGCTCTCTTCTATCTCACTTTAACAGCCTATATGTTAGGAACATTTTTATAAACCAATAACAAAATTAATAAAAATATTACCTGTTTGTTACAAAAATCCTTTGGTCTTCGCTTGTACTAGGCCTCTCTATGAATGGAACACTGTGAAAGTCTCCATCACTGGATAAATCGTCTCTTTCGCCCTGAAGCAAAATTGCATCTATTTCCCTTTTACCAAGTATCTAGAACACAAATATGAAAAAGCAAATATATATATAATAGTACTTACGTACTATTATTACAATTAATTAGAAAAGAATAAAAAATTTAATACAAATTAACCGAGTACCACAAAGACGAGTTTTGCAAAAATGAGTTTAGCATAAATCATAATTTCTTAGCAAAAAGTGAAAATAAATTCTCTTTAATTTTTGACACTATAATGGCTAAGGCACGACATTTTTAGTTTGTTTGGGTGAGGGAACACCACGCCGCCACGCCGCTAGGAATAACAAATAAAACCGGAATCAGCAATAATTGGCATTCTAGCGACAGCAGTAGGTACACTATTGGACAAAAGTAAAGCAACATTTATGTAAAAAATGCATTTTTGACTTTGTCTAAAGTTGATAACAAAAAATTAAGAAAATAACGTAATTTCAAGCGCTACGTAGTAGGCTGCTGTCATTCAATTATATGGTTTTAGGTTTGACAGTTCAGTTTTGTTGTTATACGGTTTTTGTCTTAAGTGTGAATTTTAAGCGGACAAAAGTAAAGCAACAGTTTTTAATTTTATTTATTATTTTTGATATTTATCTTCTTTAATGTTTAAGTGAATAATCGTTAATCCTACGATATTAACAAGTTTCCTCAAAATGCCTAAAGTGATTACTATCAGTACTAACTTAAAACTGAGTATTAAATGAGTTTAATAATGGGGCGAGTCAGGCAAACATTGCATATCGGTTTGAAGTGGGCAGATACACAGTTTCGAGGATATTGTCCAAATTTCAAGAAAAAGGACATTTAAATAATATACCGAAGTTGGGCAGACTTAGAAAAACCTCAGCAAATGACGACAAATTAATTAAACGCATTTGTCGCGCAGATCCATGGAAGTCAGGTTCCAGAATTACGGCGGATATTGGAAATTTAAACATCTGTAAGCGCACAGTTCGTAGAAGGTTAGTTGAGGGGAAGCTTTTTAGTAGAAGTCCGGTCAAGAAATTATTAATTTCTGCAAGGAATAGAGCTGCCAGGCTAGAGTTTGCCAGAGCTCATTTGACTTGGACTGAAAATGACTGGAAAAAAGTGTTATTTAGCGATGAAACACGTTACAATATTTTCAATTCTGATGGTATGTGTTGCGTAAGAAGACCCGTACATCAGAGATTCAATCCCGCTTATGTAAAACCAACTGTTAAGCATGGCGGTGGAACTGTATTTTTATGGGGATGTTTTTCCTTAAACGAAATAGGTCCTATCCATTTCATTGATGGAATTATGGATCGTTTTGTGTATAGATATCCTTCAGAACGTAATGATGCCACATGCAGAGTGGGAAATGCCCCTGAGATTCATATTTCAGCAGGACAATGGTCCTAAGCATACCTTGTAGCTTATGAAAGATCGGTTTCGTGGCAATAATGTATGAGTTTTGGATTGGCCATCACAATCACCTAACTTAAATCCCATTTAGAACTTGTAGGAAGAAGTAGAAAGGCGGATATGGACAGAAACATTCAGAAACAAAGGAGCTTTACAGAATAAAATAATTGAAATTTGGCAAAGTATACCAGAAAACGTTATCTAAAAGTTGATCTTGTCCATGCCCAGAAGGTGTGCAAAAGTTATTGCAAATAATGGTTATGCAATCAACTATTAATAATTAAGTCTTAAGTTGGGATTAAGTATTTAGTTATTGTTAACAGATTTGTCAGATTTTTTTGTTAATTAAATAATGTTGCTTTATTTTTATCCTATTACTTTATAACCCAGTACCTAATGTTTCATACATAAAAAGAATGATAATACCTAATACATTGACGAATAATTTTTTTCTGTTTATTATGGGCGACAATTACGTATAAAAGTTTATTTCTTGTCATTCCCCGATTTTAAATCGATAAAAAAATGAAAAATGCAAAATTGGCAGTTTTTTGCTTTACTTTTGTCCAATAGTATAGGTTGTATCCGGTTACGTCTCAGCGGATCAGATATATGTTTCTTGTACTTTCTTTAGCGGCGAAATTTTTTCTGTCTTAAGAAGTAAAAACATAGGTATGTCGAAGTTAAGTAGTAACAAACAAGTGTTTCTGCACGCATTACATCTTGCAGTAGAAACAATTCGTCGGTGTTACCCAAACATAGATGAATTAATAGCACAGACCTAGGCAGTGTTTCTCAAATCCCTGAAACGTATTCATCAATTGCACCAACAGTGTCCTGGCTTTCCAGAACCTCCACAACCCATTATTACACAATGGGGACATGGTTAGTGGCATCATTTCTTTATTTTAAACATTTAAAAAAAATAAAATTCGTAATTTTACAATTCGATGCCAAAGAATCCGCTGTTATTCGGGACAGCTAAATAAAAATAAAATTTCAGGATAGTCGAATTGAAGAACAGTTCGAAAATATTTACAATTACATTCCAATTGCGGATGCTGTAAAAAAACTTACAAAATACTGCATTATCGTTAGATGAATCACTGCAAATAGTAGATGACATACAAACAGTGCTATATGCCTTAAGTGACGAGAAAGTTTGACAACAGCAATCGCTCTGTCATGAATTCATTAACTGCTTTTAGAGACTACTTCAAATATGCACTTATAACGTCATTTTCGTTATATAAGAATATATTTTTTCTCCGTTGCAGACATCGCTTAAAGAATCTACTGCGGAGACAGATATTTGCCATAGCTCATCCAGATTTTTAATATGGAACCGGGTAAGCATTCCACAATATTATAAAATTATTTATTAAAACCGTATTAGGTAATCCACACGCGGACGCTCCTGCTTTCAAACTGAAATGTCGTGCCTTAATAATGGCCAATAACTTTAAAATTCAATGGCTATTATTACGTAAAGACTATCAGTACTGAAATAAGTACAGTCCATACAATATTTGTTGAAATAAAATTCCAAGAAGACCCCTCTCTATCTCAACAAGTATAGTACGGACTGTATGCACTACACTTCGGGTGTCGAATGCGGTTAATTTCAAAAAAGAATCAACAAATATCATATGGACTGTATACCTATATAGCTCAATGTCAGATACTACAGATTGAAAATGAACCAATGAACCAAAAATACAGCAAACATTTATATCTCTCCTATTTCTGAAGTAAATATATCGATGGTCAACTTATTAAGTAAATAATATATTTTGCTAAAGTTTAGCTTTAACATTTTGGTCAGTCTGTACAAGAAATAAATTTTAAATATTTGAAATATATTGACACTATACAAATTTGCTTTGGGTGCTCAGAACTCACAGCAAAATCACCGTGGTTGCTAGAGCTCCAAGAATTTGGCACAAATGGCAATAACAAAAGAATTATAATGCAAAGTTCCTTACCTGTTTGGTAGTGTGGTCCTGCATAGAAATTCTAAATTTATCTGTAAAATTACAATTAGCAATTGTGGGCATAGTATGCCTTATTACTATATCAACGAGCGTACGTGGTCCTATACTTCCTTCTGGATCTATCACAGCATATTTGTTTGGTGCAGTGCTTAAAACTACAAGAAAATAGTCTAGAATTTGATAGAAAATTTTTTTTTTTTATTTATTACCTTTAAATCTTACTGGAAAATCATATGGATTGTAAAGAGTTAACAACTGCTTGTGAGAAGCTTTTGATCCTAAATAAAATTTAAGCGAATTTGGAAACACAAAAACTGGAATTTTTTTAATATTTAAACTCATTTTCTTTTGTAATTGTGATATCTATTTTACTTCTGTTTGGTGTTTTGGTTTTGACACAAAACAGCTGTTGACCTTTGATAAAACGTACTGCAAATGACAAATTTCAAGTGTAATTACATGAATCATTTATCTCAAAAAAATAAAAAACATCATTATAATACGAAATTTCTTATATCATAAACACATATATGTAATTATTTGCATTTCTGATTTTGATAAATACAAAATTTATAATTTAACTCACTGAATACTAAAAAACAAGGTAAACTCCGCCATTTTCTTATACATTAGTATTAGTAGAAGTAGACAGTAGAGTATAGAGTAGCCTAGAACAAATCGTGATCAGATATCAGATCAGAATCAAATCAGAAGTGCTTGTAGTTAAGTTTTTTCCCAAATATAGAAGGCCTCGCCATTATTCTATGGCTAGAAATTGGCCTCAATGATTTGGGATCGAGGGGGATTATCCCTCTTTATCCTGCCTCATCTCGTGTAGGCCTGGACAGCCTTCGTAGGTGGGCCCCATCCGTCGTCTACCCCGACCGCAAATGCGGCCGGTGTAGGCGCTTTGTGGGACCTCCTTTTGTCCTGGCTGGGCCCCGCCGGCTAGGGCCCTTTCTTCTGGCGCTCTTCTTGCTTCGCCGGCTCGTCTGTGTAAACCCCGGGGGTAGTGTCATGTTTATG